ACACACAGAGGTGCACACACACAGAGATGCACACACACACAGCAGTGCACACACACAGAGTGACCACACACACTCACAGCAGTGCACACACACACAGCAGTGCACACACACACAGAGGTGCACACACACACACAGAGGTGTACACACACACACTCACAGAGGTGCACACACACTCACAGAGGTACACACACACACAGAGGTGAAAGACTCACATAAAAAACAAAAAAAACTTTGTTTAAAAAAATCAATTAAAAAAAATCAATTAACAGAGGCCGGGCGTTGATGGCGCACGCCTTTAATTCCAGCACTCGGGAGGCAGAGGCAGGCGGATCTCTGTGAGTTCAAGACCAGCCTGGTCTACAAGAGTGAGTTCCAGGGCAGCCTCCAAAGCCACAGAGAAACCCTGTCTCGAAAAACAAAACAAAATAAAAATCAATTAACAGAGAGGTGCAAACCCTAGGATCTATTTACATGAAGCTCCAAAGGGGCGAATTTCGGGGTTGTATGCATCTCTCTGGTCTGGGCCAGCAGGCACACCGAAGTGCGCCCACAAAACTTCACTGCAATCACTCCTGTGTTATGACATTTAAAACAGAAACCATGGGACAAGTGACCAATAACCTTTGAGTCAAGAACTGAATTGGGGAGGGAATGTTTCTAGCAAACATCTGATGCTACTGATGTCTTGGCTTCTGTGAACCAAGGAGACCTAGGATGGTTTCAGAGGGGGAGAGGGCTGCTTCAGGGAGGGAATGGTGCCGTGGGGAGGGAGGGGCCCAGCCTGCAGCGTACATGCAGGGGTTCCCTCCTTTGAGGGTCTGCAGCCCCAGGAGGCTCATGTCCCCTCTTTACTATGATGTAATCAGCACCCGACACTGGACTTTCCCTCAAGGGAAGGCCTCTAATGGCTGTCACTTTCATGTAGGTTGGCTGAGGATTTATGTCTTGTAGGCTCCATCTTGGTCCTTGTTTGTGTTTCTATCAGGCAATTGGTCCATCTTATCTAAATGATCTAATTTGTTAACATAATTATTCTTAGTTTCTATTCTTTATTTCCATTAGATCGGTGTGAGCGTTTTCCTGCCTCCCTTCTCCCATTCTCCCTTCTTTCCTGCCTGCCTGTGGTGCTGGGGATGGAGCCTAGGGTATCTGAGCTACACACGCACCTCTTCCATTTTACTTTTTGTCTTTCTAGTCAGTTTATAAAGGTTTATTAAATTTTCTGGCAAAGAACCAACATTTACCTTTTTAAGGTGTGTGTGTGTGTGTGCACATGCGTGCGTGTGCAGGTGGTGGCATGGGATCCCCTGAAGCTGGAATTAACAGGTGTTATGAGCCTCTTAATGTGGGTGCTGGGAACTGAACTCAGGACCTTTGCAAGAGCTATAGGCACATTTAACTCCTTGGCCATCTCTCCAGCTCCCTTATCCAGCTTTTCCTTTCCCTCATTTCTCTGCCCTAACCCTTCCCTTCCTTCCCTGTGCTCTCTAGGCTGAGTTTGGCTTACTTCTAGTCCCTTTAGATGTAAAGCTACTATTGATTGGAGAGTTCCACAGCAGGGTCTGTGTAGCCCTGGCTATTCTGGAACTCACTACATGAACCAGGCTGGCCTTAAACTCACAAAGATCTGACTGCCTCTGCCTCTACTTTTTGTATGTGTGGTTGTTTTGCTTACATATATGTCTGCACAGCACATGTGTACCTGGTGCCCAAGCCAAAAGAGGGCATATTGAATGAATCCCTTGGAACTGGTGTTATGAATGGTTGTGAGCGGCTCTGTGAGTGTTGGGGATCGAACCCAGGCCCTCTGGAAGAGCAGACAGTGCTTTTAACTTCTGAGTCATCTCTCCAGCCCTGAAAATTCTACCTTTTAGGCTGGGTCTGGTGGTTCATGCCTTTAATCCTGCAAGTGAGTTCAAGGTCAGCCTGTTATTCTACTGAGTGAGTTCCAGGACAGTCAGAACTACATAGTGAGACCCAGTCTCAAAACACACACACACACACACACAAGCTACTGCACTCCCTCTTTGCTCGACTCTTGCTGTATTCTTTAAGTTTGGGTGCATCATGTTTTCATTCACCTGTACTCTCTCCTTTTAACATAGCTGTTAAGAGCCAGGTCTGATGATACACACGTGACTCTAGCACTCAGGCAAGGCAGGAAGATGAGAAAGCACACATTTCCCTGAGTGTGCTTCCTGCTAGGTGTCTACAGTGACTCCACTGCAGAGAGATGGAGGTTCCGTCTGAGACATGCTGTGTCCTACTGTAGTGTATTCCGTATGTCAGGTCTAGCCACTTTCTTAAAGTTATGTAATATCTGTCATGCACGTAAGACTCTAATGACAAGTGCGGTGGGAAGCCACAGAACCACCAGCCCTTACTGGGTCTCCACAGGGAGCACGTCCGCGTCCTGGCTGAGTTAACAGGCATTGTGTCTAAATCCTGTGAGACTCAGATTAGCCTTCAGCTTCACAAAAATGGCCTGGACTGCAGGAGTTTCTGCCACTGTTTGTTGTGGCTCTGACACCACTCACGACAGTGCACAGGGACCCTGCTCTGACACACTCACGACAGTGCACAGGGACCCTGCTCTGACACACTCACGACAGTGCACAGGGACCCTGCTCTGACACACTCACGACAGTGCACAGGGACCCTGCTCTGACACACTCACGACAGTGCACAGGGACCCTGCTCTGACACACTCACGACAGTGCACAGGGACCCTGCTCTGACACACTCACGACAGTGCACAGGGACCCTGCTCTGACACACTCACGACAGTGCACAGGGACCCTGCTCTGACACTCACGACAGTGCACAGGGACCCTGCTCTGACACACTCACGACAGTGCACAGGGACCCTGCTCTGACACACTCACGACAGTGCACAGGGACCCTGCTCTGACACACTCACGACAGTGCACAGGGACCCTGCTCTGACACACTCACGACAGTGCACAGGGACCCTGCTCTGACACACTCACGACAGTGCACAGGGACCCTGCTCTGACACACTCACGACAGTGCACAGGGACCCTGCTCTGACACTCACGACAGTGCACAGGGACCCTGCTCTGACACACTCACGACAGTGCACAGGGACCCTGCTCTGACACACTCACGACAGTGCACAGGGACCCTGCTCTGACACACTCACGACAGTGCACAGGGACCCTGCTCTGACACACTCACGACAGTGCACAGGGACCCTGCTCTGACACACTCACGACAGTGCACAGGGACCCTGCTCTGACACACTCACGACAGTGCACAGGGACCCTGCTCTGACACACTCACGACAGTGCACAGGGACCCTGCTCTGATACACTCACGACAGTGCACAGGGACCCTGCTCTGACACTCACGACAGTGCACAGGGACCCTGCTCTGACACACTCACGACAGTGCACAGGGACCCTGCTCTGACACACTCACAACAGTGCACAGGGACCCTGCTCTGACACACTCACGACAGTGCACAGGGACCCTGCTCTGACACACTCACGACAGTGCACAGGGACCCTGCTCTGACACACTCACGACAGTGCACAGGGACCCTGCTCTGACACACTCACGACAGTGCACAGGGACCCTGCTCTGACACACTCACGATAGTGCAAGGGACCCTGCTCTGACACACTCACGACAGTGCACAGGGACCCTGCTCTGACACACTCACGACAATGCAAGGGACCCTGCTCTGACACACTCACGATAGTGCACAGGGACCCTGCTCTGACACACTCACGACAGTGCACAGGGACCCTGCTCTGACACACTCACAATAGTGCACAGGGACCCGCAGCTCCTCAGCCATGTGCCATTCTCTTAGGTTGAACTTCTGGATGGCTGTCAGGTTGAAAAGAAACTCAGGACAGATGGCTTATTAGCACAGGCTGTGCTGCGCTGCAAGAACCTGTTGGAGTCCTGCCTGCTGGCGTCCTGGCCCTTCTCAGCTGCCCCTCCTCTAATCTCTGCAGCTTATCCCCCTCGCCTGCCGTAACCACCCTGCCACCTCAGCCAAGCACTGTGCCTCCTCAGTCTAACAGTGTCAGCCGGCCTCTCTCCGCCTGCTCTGGGCTCTTCAGATGCCTCTGGCTGCACTCTCCTTCACATCTACAACAAAACCTCAACCAGACCACCCTCAGGTTCTCACTTCACCTGAAACCCCCACTCACATAGCTGTAGCTTTGATTGTCCCCAGCCCCTGTCCTCCATGCAGACCAGGCTGGCTCAGAACTTGCAGCAGTCCTGCCTGGGGTTACAGGTGTGCACCATCATGCCGGGTGTGGTACCAGGGACACCAGACTTGCCAATAGGCTTAGTAAACGTGTGCCCGGCAGTCTGATCCGATCCACGGAGGCCCCCTTCCTCCGCTTCCGGTGCTGGCTGCAGCTTTTCTCTTGTCCCCCTCAGCAAGAGGACAGAGAAGCTGATAATGGGCTCTTTAGTAATGACAGGGCCACCAGTATGTTCTCAAATGAAGACACTCAGGGCTACCAAGCCTCGGCAGGCAATCCCCACCTCCTGCCCGGCAGCCTCCCAGTCAGGCAGCTCCCTCCAGGGCTGCAGGGCAGGTGTTGGCGGGCAGCTGAGGATTCCCCTCACCCCTCCCTGGTCTCACCTTTCCTGCTGCACAGGAAGGCTGTCTGGGCAGGGCCTCAGTGCACGGGCCAAGGGAGAGCAGTGAGCACAGCCTCACAGCTCATTGCTGCTGAGGCCCCTGGCTGTGCTGCAGTCACTTGACAGACAGCTGGCTCCCTGCCCTAGGGCACACCCAGGAAAGGTGACATGGTGGCAAATGTCTCCAGGGCAAGCCCGAGACAATTTACAAAATAGCTCTGCCACTGAAGCCAAGTTGGAAAATTCCAGGGCAAAGGAAATTTACCACAGCTTAGGATAGCCTGAGAGTGGATGAAAACATCTAGACTTTTACTTGGGGCGCTAAGAACAGGAAGACCACAGGCCCTCAGCACAAAGGAGGACTCAGCAGGCCCATGAGGGAGTCCTTTAATAGATCGCACAGACAGGAGACACGACAGGCTAGCGCCCTGCTTGCAGGCCCAGGAGCTCTGCCAGTAGATGCAATGGCCTCCCCCACCTGGGTGTGGGCCGCAGGGTGGGGATGAGGTGGTTTAAAAAACACAGCTGTACTAATTCTTCACTTTCACAGAAAAGAGGAACTGGGGGGAACAGCTCACTGGAGAATTTACAGAGCTGAGTCTGAAGGCCCACCCCTAGAAGGGCTGAGCCCTCCACCCTCCTCTGAGCTGTCTGCACTCAGCAAGGGGCAGACACCACATGGAAGGCAAGGCCAGGCCAGTCCAGAGGGCCATGCTGACTGAAACAGCTGTCCCGCCCTCCCAGCTGTCAGCATTTCTACACTATGTACATTGTTGTGCTTTATTGACCCCGCCCCAGCCACCGCCTGAAGCTCAGGGTGGGGGGGGGCCCTGGACCACATCCAGCTGGGTGGGAGCGCCAGGCCCCCACAGTCTGGTGCTCTGTATGGTTCTGAGACTGCAAGGCTCAAGCCACTGGAGCTGCAGACCACGAGTACGTAGGAGCCAGCCGAGCCGGTCAGCTCTTCTGAGGAGAAGCAGAGACGGAGGGTCAGTGCTGGACAAGATGCAGGCTGGGTGGGAGCAGGCAGGGCGGGCGGGAGGACAAGCGCAAGGCCGTGAGTCTGGGTACAGGCTGCGCACACGGCTGTGGCACCTCACGAGGCCCCTTCCACAGCAGTGAGCTCGATGGAGGCAGGCTGTGAGGACCACCGGTCTGGGGCCCCTCGGAGCACAGGGCTGCTTCCAGTTCATCAGGGGCTGGCAGTGGCAGGCTCCAGCTCAGGGTGTGTGCATGAGGAGATTCAGGGAGAACCACCAGGCATCCTGTGGGGCTGGGTGACAAGGGAAGGCTGTGGTGATATCTTTGAGTATGTCCTCGCCAGGCCAGGGGTTAACACAGGATCAGTTGTTCTCAAAGAGCGAGAGCAGGTCATCACTGCTGTTTGTGGGGAGGTCGGGTGGGCCCAGGTAGGAGAGCAGTTCATCAGGATTGGTCAGTTCTGGGAGCAGCTGAGGACAAAGTAAACACATTAGCACTTTGGTGTCAGACCCTTCATGTCCAGTGGCCATGCTGTCCTGGCCCTAGGCCCAGTAAGGGATGCTGAACTGCCCTTCCCCTGCCAAACACTGAGTGCCTGAGTGAAGCCACCTGCCTGGATGAAGCTGCCCATATCTCCCCATGGACGGCTGCTACAGGACAAGAATAGCTCAAGACATGCTTCTCAACTGCCAGGAGCCAGGGTGTACAACCAGAGGTGGCCCAGCTGTGCACCAGGGGTCTCCAGTCTTGTTCCTGGGGGCCAATGCAGATGGTGGAATTCCATGCCCCTGGACTTTCTGCTCTGGGCTGCTCCTCATCTTCCTTGTAGAACTTCAGTGAGTTTCTATTAAGGTCCAGGGACAGCAAACCCACTGTCTGTCGTTCATGCTCATGCTCACACCCTGCTTGTGATGCCCAGACGCAGACCTGAACAAACAGGCAGGTCAGGCTGGACCATGAGGACAGCGCTGCGGACTTCCTTGGAGGCCCTACGCACCCAGGCTCCAAAAATCTCTAACCTAAGCGCAGGTCAGTCATTAACTACACATGGATACCCGGTACCCGTAGTTATTGCAGGTATGCAACCTGTGTGAACAGTTGCTCTTGGGTGACATTATCTGACAATCCCTCCTGAAGGTTCACTGTCTTCTCTATGAAGCCAAGGTGGGCACACCCAGGGACCGATGCACAGGCAGCCCCAGTGGCTCCACCCCCAGCACAGCACGGTTACTCACATCCAGAGCTGGTTCTGAGGCCTCTCCTGCCCCAGTCATGCCGGGAGGCCCCATCATGCCCGTGGCAGGATTGAAGGCCAGTTCGCTGATGGGTCCTGTGTTTGGCTGGCCCAGGGGTTGCCGGGATGGAGGTGGAGGATTTGGATGGTGTAGCTGGGAGCCTGGGCTGGGTCCGAGGTTGGGGGTGTGCAGCCCTGGTGGCCCAGGATTGTGGGCCGGGTCCAGGTGGCCTGCTGGTGCCATCTGAGGATGTTGAAAAGAGCTTGTTTAACTAGCTCATGGACTCCCTGCGGAGATTCCTACTGTGGACCTCTGGGCACACCACTGACCTGGCCTGGGAGGCAAGGGGCAGACTTGTCTGCAGTCAGGAGGCCACCGGGAATGTCAGACTGGTAGGACATGGGGGCTGGCCCCTGGCTGAACTCAGCAAGGTTTGGGGTGGTGGGTGTAGCAGATGGGAAGGATTCTGGGAAGGTTCCAGGCCCTAGGAAGTTGGAACCTGCAAGAGGAAAGTATGGTCAGAAAGCTCCGATTGGCAGAGGTGCGGTGGGAAGGAAGGGTGGAGAAGGCACCCGCCATGAGCACTGGCTCGCTGCCAGGGCCTGACCCTGTGCTGGTTCTCGGAGGGGAGAACTCCTCACAAGTGAGGGACGGAGACCCAGCAAGAGTTCAGCGCGGGTCCTCGAGGGACACCACAAATGGGGCCATCCATTCAGCACAAGTCCTTGAAGTTTTTCAGTGCAAAGCCTTACTCCCAATCAGAGGGAAGGGCGCAAGGCTTACTGCCCTGCATGGAACTTGTAACCGTGTGGGACACGGCCACAGGCAAGGAGGTGCATCTGGAGAGGACAAGTCATTTGCCCAGGGTCACCTGAGGTTCAAGTCTGGGTGTTATACTCACCCTGGCTGGGGTAGTCGCTGGGGGCAGGGGCCGGAGGGGGTTGCAAAGGGGCAAAGGGGGCAGCGCCCGGGCCCAGAGCTGCAATCATCTCCATCACACTGGGCATGAGCACATGTGCAGGGCTCACAGTGCGGCAGCGCTTCAGCACCGGCCCATCCGGCTCCTCCTTCATGTGCAGGTCAGGCTTCACAGGGACGGGCTTCCAGCTGCACGTGGGGTCGATGGTGATCTCCTCATAGTCTGAGCTAAGCAGGGACACATGGGGACTGGTCACCTGCTGTCCACTCAGATGCCAGGTTTCCAACCACACCTTGCACTCAGACACTCTGTACCCAGAGCCTTCAGGGCACTCAGCAGGTATGTGGGAGCTGCTTCAGCATGGGAAGAGACTCCGAAGACTGCCTTACTCCAGGACTGCCCTCTGGTGGCCACAGATGCAGGGGTGGCAGGAAGAGACTTACTTCTGAATGTAAATCAGGATGCCCAGCATGTACTGGTCCACTTCCAGACCCTCCAGCAACGCTGTCTTGCTGTAGAAAGAGCAAAGGAGACTGGTCAGGAGGCCAGCTGGGTACAGGCGCTATCATCTCTGTCACCGTGTGAGGTGACTCTGTAAGGGACCCCTGTGTCAGGTGACCTGGGTAACCACTAGGGTAGTCCAGTGGAAGGGGGTGCTGTGTAAAGCCACTTAGTGGGAGGTTTCTGCCCTCTGAGGGGCTACTCTGGCTTGTGCTAGGGGACACTTCCGATGCTGTCTCAAGTTTCACCCTCTGAGGGGTGGGCAGCTCCCTCACACACGAGACTGACTCACTTGCACACGGGACACCTCCAAGTCCCCCGCTCACAGTTGAGCTGTAAGTATGACTCCAGGTCAAAGCACTGCAGAGAGACAGAAAGACAGGTCACTCCTCACCGTGGGATGGAGGGAGTTGTTCAGAGTGCCTTCTGGAAAGTTGCCTTGCTTGGGTTATATTTAAGGTATCAGGTTTCTACTGCCACATTGTCTTTGTAGACCAGCCTGGCCTGGAACTCACAGAGATCCGCCTGCCTCTGCCTCCCGAGTGCTGGGATTAAAGACGTGCGCCACCACTGCCCGGCAGCATCTTCTTAATGGGCCCAGTCTAGGATACCCCAAGCAGCCCTCCCCAGCAATGCCACACGCCAGAACCAGACAGTTGTATCCATAGGGACTCTCCTGGCTCAGGACAGTTGTTAAAAGGATGAAGTTCAGAGGCAGAGTGCCTGTCTAGCATGCATGAACCCTCAAGTTCAGCCCCTAGCACCACCTCCAAAAAGAGGTTGCTTTCAGGAAAAAGAGCACACAGGTACTTGGCTAACACTGGCTATTTCTGTAGACTGCAACTCTAAAGGTGGGCAGGAAGAAGGCTGCACCCATATCTTTATACCTTTTAAAAATGGAACCCCATGAATATAATAATTAGCAAAATATAGGGAAAACTACTGGAGGTGGTGGCGCACGCCTTGAGTTCAAGCATCTGGGAGGCAGAGGCAGGTGGATCTCTGTGTTTGAGGCCAGCCTGGTCTACATGAGAGTTTTCCAGAACAGTCAGAGGTACAAGTCACAAACAAACATACTTTATAGGAAACACTGTGACTGTTAGAAAGGAGCAAGACTAATACTCTCAGGGAAGGAGGCAGGAGGCCATGCCCCTGTGGAGGGTCTGCCTTTGGTGGCCACTGCCTTGTGGAGGGTCTACCTGGGAGCTCAGCACTCGGGAATTTGGAGGTGGAAGCAGGCAGATCAGGAATTCAGGGTCATCCTCAGCTTACATAGTGAGTCTGAGGCCAGCCTGGGCTATATGAGACCCTTATTTCAAGGGAAAAAAGTCTCAAGACAGACTTTCACTATGGATCAGAGACTAGCCTCAGTCCCCAAGGGCTCTGGATTACAGGTGTGTATTATGATACCAGGCCCAAAATACTTCTCTAAGTTGCTGATTTCTTTCTTTTTAATGCTACTAAGCAGTTTTCTCAGTTTCTACTTTAGATTCCACTCAGTACCGAGTCACTCTTCTGGTTGCTCCAAACAAAGTATTTTTGTTTGTTTGTTTTGGTTTTTTTTCGAGACAAGGTTTCTCTGTATTGTTTTGGAGGCTGTCCTGGAACTCGCTCTGTAGACCAGGCTGGTCTCGAACTCACAGAGATCCGCCTGCCTCTGCCTCCTGAGTGCTGGGATTAAAGGCGTGCGCCACCAACGCCCAGCAACTCAAAAGTATTTTAAGGGCAACACACCTGTATGTATTTTAAGGGACCACCCACCTGTATGTGGCGACAGTCGTGGCCACGGGCTGGGAGCTGGATCCTGCGGAAGGTGATGGGGCACTTCAGGGACACCTTGATAGCCGTCTGCTCCACCCCATCCTCTCCATTGGGCCCAGGGGTGCCAGGGATGGTGCCGCTACTGAAGTTCCGCTTTACTGACATTGACAGGGAAAGGGCTTGAGTAAAGTCTCCAACACTCTGAGGCTGTGGACTGGTGCCAACCAGGACCCAGTCAGTGCTCAATCAATGTCTCTCAAGGAGGTGCCTGGAGGTACCCAATGCCCCTTGGGCAGAGCCATCTGTCTGAGAGTAAACGGCCCCTGTGCCACAAGGCGGGGTTCAGCCTGGGACAGCCCAGACGGCTGAGGAGTAGGGAGCACTCACTCTTGGTGATGCAGTGCTCAGCAGGCAGTAGGCGCTTCTTGAGGAGGCCCTGCAGCACGGAGCGGACGGAGGGACGGTGCACCAGCTGCAGCACGAAGAGGTGGGACTGCAACGGGGGGGGGGGGGGGTTACACGGAGAGCGTGGAGGGAGCGCTGGGGTTCAGCACAGAAGGGGGCCAGGCCCTCAAAGTGCTGACACACAGGCGGGGCTTTTCTCTTTCTCTGAGCTGAGGCCGTGGCTGTGAGCTTCACACACTCTCTCATGCTCTGCAGGGCACTTTGCTCCAACCACTGTTTTCTCCGTCAAACCACAATCACCTCAAGTCCCTAGCAGACCCCTCTCCTGACAGCCTGCAGCTCAAGGTCTAGTTGGGGTCCTACCCACCAGAACCTGGTGAGGCCCAGGCCAGGGCAGGCAGCACACCTTCCACGAGCTTCCTGTGCTCTCTCTGACATAGTTAACACGAGCATTAAATCTGTCCAATGCGATCTAACTAGAAAATGGGGTGGATTTAACTGGCTCTCTTTTCTGAAAGGGCAGGACGTATTAAAATAGAAAGAGAAGCAGCACCTTGTTCTTCAAGGATAAAGACCCTCCCCCACAAGCTCCCCAGCCCACCGGAGAGCTGCTGGTCTGGGTGGGTGTGTCTCTGCTGGCCCCAGCCCTGACAGACCCTACCCACAGCCCTGCAGGCTACCCACGCAGCAGCAGGCGGTAACGGTGATCTGGATGGTGTTGCGCCCTGGCTGGCACACGTGCTTCAGGTAGAGGGGCTTGTGTGAGGTCTTGTTGTCTCCACGCTCGATGCTGAGGGGTGTGGCGTTGACGCTGACCTGCACGGAGGCTGGCCAGTTCGTGTTCATCTGCCGGTCCTCATGGTGGTAGCATTTGAACTGCAGCTCCAGGTCAGGCCTGGCAGGGAGGAGGATGGCAGGAGCCCGCACTGTGCAGGCGGGGCCCGGGGCAGCGGGGAGTGGGACTCACCTCAGCATCAGCGTCTTGTAGACAGAGTCCCGGAGCTGGAAGACATGGTTGCTCACAGCCAGGTTGTGCTGCAGGCGAAAGGGCTCCAGGACCACCCCATCTCGGACCGGGAAGGTCAGGCGCAGCTCGTCACAAGGGCCACTTCCTGAGGGCAGAGGTATGCTGGCCACGAGTTTGGTACCCTTCCAAGGAATCTTGGCCCTCAAGGAACACTTCTGACTTAGAGCCCCAAACACTAACCCAACCCCTGCCAGAAACTCTCAAGAGAGCGGAGACACCCACACACTAGGGCTCCAGATAGTGTCTCTCCTCAGAACTCGGGCCATGGTCTGCGTTCTATCCTGCCTTGGTCATCCAGCAGTCTGGACCACATTGTGAACAGTCACAGGACACGCTTCCAACCTAGAAAGCACATCCAGACTGGGCCACCTGCCACCGCCCTATGGTTCGACTCAAAGTTCTAGGATGTTAGCTGCTTCTGCAGGAATCTCCCTGAAGTAGGCATTCGTAACCAAGGATGGGTATCTGAGGGCAATTTTGGGTACACAGACATTTTTCTGGACAGAATAGCCACAGCCTCCATGAGCGCTAGACAAGGCCATCAAGAGAAACAAGAAGGCCTGCTCTGACCCTTCTGCTTTGTATGAAGCTGGGCCTTGGGCTTCCAAGCTCTCTGTAGGACTCTCTTGAGTCCTGATCACCCCAGCCTCCCTCCCAAGCCTCACGCTGGCTGCTGTCCTTCCACACTCACCAGAGGGTGATGGGTGCAAAGAGCTGAGGCCTGGCTTGAGGTCAGGCAGGAAAGGAGACTTGACTTCCTGGCTTGGGGACATGTAGGGAACATTGCCGCTGGGCGTCATGGGTGGTGTGGGGTTCCCCGGCAATGGGGAGCTGGGGTAACCAGGGATGGAACGGGAAGGCTGTAGAGGTTGAGCATAAACAGTCAAAGCAGAATGGCAGAGTGGGAGGGTAGTCTGCTCACAGAGCACCCCTGGAGTACTGGGCAGGGCACCTGTATTTCTTCCTGCCTGGGTACCCCCTTTCCATATGCCCACCCTGTGAGCCTCCCAGCCCATCCACCCTGCCAAGCCCCATACCCCACTCAGGCCAGGCTGGCTGTAGCTGATGTTCCCCGCGTTGAAGTTGGCGCCCTGCCCGTTGAACTGCTCTGTGGGCTGTGGGAAAGAAAACTAAGTGTGCCTGGGGCTCCAGCCTGCCGCTCACTGACCCCTAACCCGATCCTAGACTCTGCACCACACTAGGTGCTCATCTGTGCACTGTCTACACTCCCCATAATCTGAGAAACATCACTGATTTCATAACGTAAAAAGTTGATACTACGAGGGGCTGGAGAGATGGCTCAGAGGTTAAGAGCACTGGCTGCTCTTCCACAGGTCCTGAGTTCAATTCCCAGCAACCACATGGTGGCTCACAACCATCTGTAACGAGATTGGTGCCCTCTTCTGGCATGCAGGCAGAACACTGTATACTTAATAATAAATAAAAAAATTTAAAAAATGGTTAAAAAAAAAAAGTTGATACTACGAAACAGGGTGGCCCTTCCGGCTGGAAGAGCTATAAATTAGGTTCACACCATGCTCCTCCTTTCTTCCCGACTCCACCTCATCATGCCACTCTGCCTACCCAGGCTGCCAGTGAGAACTGCGCTTCCTCCATGTGCCCAGACAGGGTATACAGCAAGAGTCTGTCTCTTAGACAGGGGTCAGGGCCAAGGGAGTGAACTGCACAGTTCCATAAAGGTTGTCAGACGGCTTGGAGCCCACTTGCTGCTCCCTCCACCAAGTAGCCCAGAGAAATATACACACAGGTACCGCAGACCCGACCAGTCGGTCACCCTGAGAGCTATTCTTGCACTGACTGGAACTCCCTGGCCAGCCTGACTAAAGGTCCCCACTGAGTCCTGTGACACTCAACCTAGCACAGGCCCAAGGGAGCCATTCCTACCTTGTAGTGCAGCCCTGTGGAGCCAGGTGCAGACAGGGACTGGGCCATGCCCTGCTGCAGGGGCAGCCTGTGTCCCGGGTAAGAGGAGGCGGGCCCTGGGGGCTGCCCAGGGCCAGGAGCATACTGGGCAGTGCTGGCTGCATACTGGCCTCCTTGCAGATACTGCTGCCCAGGGTACACCTGAGAAGCAGATACCCAGGGAAGAGAGAGTTACCAGGGGAAGCAGGCTGCCACGTGTTTGCGTTTGTCTGAGAAAGAGGAGACTTCATGATTCTGCTAGGCACAGGGAGGTCTCTCTCCGGAAGACACTCTTACCATAACTCTGAGGGCAGATGGATAGGGAATCACCATCTAGGACCCCAGGCTGAGCAACCAAGACACCCACCTCTGAATAGGCTCTCTTGACCCCCTGTCGGGGCAGTGGCTGGGCCTGAGGAGGCCCAGGGTACCCATGCTGAGGCAGTCGCTGTCCTGCATACAAGGGTGTCATGCCTGCTGCCCGGGTAGGGTTCATGGCCATTGAGGAGAGGCCAGAGGGGCCCATCAATCCTCCCATGCCAGAAGGGTTCATGCCGGGGGGTACACTGGGTCCTCGGGGACCTCCATGCTGGAGAAACTGGCTGTTAAAAGACTGTCCAGTCCCCATCTGAGAAGAGAGAAAGGAGGGATGGTTCAGATCCCTCTTCTCGGCTGTTCCCACAGTCCTCTCTCCTGTCCCCTCCCCTCTTCCACTGGCCTCAAGAGGTCCCAGCCCAGTCCACACTTGTCCCCACTGCCTTACCAAGTCCACCGAGCCCACCCGTACTTGCCACCTCACGGAAGGAGCAGGAGGGGCCTCACCGCTCCATACTGGCTTAGCTCCTGACTCTGCTTCTCCTGCAGGGCAGCCACAGTGGCGGTGGCGGTGGCGGTGGCGGTGGCTGCAGCCGCAGCCATAGCAGCTGCAGCTGCAGCTTGTGTGAAGTCAGTGGAGGGTCGTGCAGCATGCGAGGGCAGGCCCAGGCCTCCAGGGCCACCTGCATACCTGCAGGTGGTAGACAATTGCCTCACTACTAAAGCTTGCTCTGAGACACATAGCACTCGGGAAGCCCATTTTGTCCTTCTTTCCAGATCTTTCGGATCTTTCACTGTGGCTATATGGAGACAGTGGGGAGGCAGGAGGCAACACCCAACCCTTTCGCAGCACCCGCCGGGCTGATAGCACCGAGCCACTGGCCGGGTGAGGGCCCTGCTTACCCAGTGGTGAAACCGGATCCCCCAGGGTAGCCCCCACGTCCATACACGCTTTGCTGCACGTAGCTCTTGTTAGCACCACCTTCAGCAAACGCCTGCTGTCCCAGGCACTGCGGGGAGGTCAAGGCAGAGCTGCCACCCGCCACTCCAGGCATCATGGAGCCACCAGGGGGGCTTCCTGCAGGGCCCATGGGGTTCCCCAAAACCTACAAGGAAGTGGGAGTCACCAAAGAGAACCAGCCAAACCACTGTCTTCAAGACATAGCTCTGAAGTGCTAGATGCCAAGAGAGCCCTGGCACACAGGGAGGACCTGGGACGGCAGGAGCGGCTGTCCACAGTTCTGGCTGGAGTGGTCCACGGACCGGGGAAGACACCCATGACAGTGCAGGGGAGACACCCATGACAGTGCAGGGAAGACACCCATGACAGTGCAGGGGGAGACACCCATGACAGTGCAGGGAAGACACCCATGACAGTGCAGGGGGAGACACCCATGACAGTGCAGGGAAGACACCCATGACAGTGCAGGGGGGAGACCCATGACAGTGCAGGGGGAGACACCCATGACAGTGCAGGGGGGAGACACCCGTGACAGTGCAGGGGAGACACCCATGACAGTGCAGGGGGAGACACCCATGACAGTGCAGGGAAGACACCCATGACAGTGCAGGGGGGAGACCCATGACAGTGCAGGGGGAGACACCCATGACAGTGCAGGGGGGAGACACCAGTGACAGTGCAGGGGAGACACCCATGACAGTGCAGGGGAAAGGCACCGAGCAGCTCGAGACCCTCAGAAGCCCCATCTTTGTGCTCCAGCCAGTCCCCTGGGCCCTTGTTCCTTCCTAAGATGGCAGAGGCACCACCAGGACTCTTGCTCCTGAGGGCTAGGGGAGGAGCGCGCAGGTGCACACTCACCTGGCTCTGTGTTGCGTTGCCAACTCCCCACACAGTAGTGACCACGGACAGTGAGCCGGCTGGCTGAGTGGCACTTTGTTGCCAAGGCACAGACTCATATGCAAACGAACCATCACTACAGAGAGAGCAGCTGGTAAGACAGGGTCAGAAGGCCCAGGGCTTGCTAGATGCAGGCCACAGAACACACTCACCCATGTGGCGCAGGGGGCAGGGCAGGTTTCATGGGGTTCATGGGGTTCATTGGTGATGAAGCAGCCTATAGGCCCAATGCGCTGAAACTTTTCTGGGAGTTGCTGCTCCGGCTGCTGGACATAAGGGAGAGGGTGAGAGCTTAGATGTAGCAGGAGCCCCTCACAGTAGCACGGACAGACAGAGCCAGGGTGGTGGAGATGGACCATGTTAGCCCAGAATGCAGTGGACGATGTTAGCCCAGAATGCATGGGAAGCAACTCCAAGAAGGGCCCTGCCATCTTAAGCCACTGAACCAACCCAGGAAAAGGGCTTTCTGATTTCAGATACTTTCACACACCCTTCCCCACATCATACCCATATAAAGCCAGGAACACCGCAGCAGGGCCAATCATAGTAGCACCTACTCAAAAGTCTTACCCACCCTGGGCAGCCCAGAGACCTGAGAAGGAGCAGAATCAAAGTGTCCTCTGAGGCAGGGGCTGGGCTGGGACGGTCAGGAAGCAGATGCGGAAGAGCAATCCATTCACCGGCTTGGCCTTGGGGAGGCTGTACCGACACAGCTGAGGGGGGACGCAGGCACCAGCCCAGCTCCTGGTTGGCAGCTTTTTCCTATCAAGAGGGTAGCAGAAGGGCTTCAGGCCACAGGACCTTCAAACTGGCCTAGACGACTTGCGGGGAACAGGTAGGACTGTGTGTGTGCGCGCATGCGCACGGACACGCTCTCATCTGAGACAATATGGACACGAGTACAGGGTTAACACTTGAGAGTTCCCAACCGGGGGGGGGGGCAGTGACACACACAGTGCAACAGGTGTGTGTGTGAGAGAGTATATGTGTGTATGTGTGTGTAGTGGGGTATTCGCAGACATAAAGACCCCGAATGTAACTAAGTTTTTCAGCGACAGTGAGAGCATGCTAAACCACATCTAAAAGACGGGACAAACCAGCTTCATCCTCAGAAAACAGCAGCAGCAACTGGCGGACAAGGGAGGCTCTGGCAGGTAAGACCTGTGGTCGGTGCCAGAAGTCTACTGCTCACTGAGCTGGGTCTCTGCTCCCATGTAGCTACTGAGTCACAGAGTGACCACAGCACCAGGAGGCTTCCAAAGTCATGGTTCCCACACTGCCAAGCTCCTTCCAAAAACTGGCTCAGACATCCCCCAGAACTGGACTACAATCCTTCCCAGAGTCTCATGTCCTTAGGTCCTCACACGCCCCAAACCGCCTGCATGCCGACCTCTGCTTGGTCTCACAAGGGGTGCAGCGACCATGTGTGGTGCCCTTCTCAGGGAACCCTTAGGGAAGGCCAGGCGCTTTTGTCCTCAACCCCTCTGCCACGGTAAAGGCTGTTACTGCCATGTACGCCTTGTGAAACATGCTGAAATCTGGTGATCTCCTCCTGCCACTAAGTACTCACAAGTCTCTTGTCTAGGGGAGCAAGGGATAGATACCCCAGCACCCACTCAGCCCTGGGACAAACATTTCTGTGTGGTTACCAGGTCCTCATCAGAGCTCACAATGGACTCAGAGGCTCTGCAGGTTCACACAGGCAAGCTACGCACACGAAGCCCGGCAGGCGAGAGAGAGAGCGAAGAAAGGGGACAGTGACTTGACCCTGGGAAGGGGCAAAGAAGCCCCACCCATGGGAGTCTGTCCCCTAACCCTCAGAGGCAACCAGACTCGATTCTGGCCTTTCCCAAACCAAGTCCTGCCTAGGCAGCATAGGCCACAATGTGCCAGCTTGGCAGCCGAGGCTGGCATCCCTGATGCTACTGCCTGATCCTGAGAGACCTGGTGAGAGGAGGAACTTGTCAACAGGTGAGAAGACTCCAAGACCTGACATGTGGAACAACCAAGTGGATAGCAGGAATTAGGAAAGAAGCATGACTTAATGGAAGAAAGTGGAGACAGGAAATAGCCACACAGCCACTCCCTGAGGCACCAGAACACTTCAATGGAGGAAGGACATTTACAACAAGTGGTGCAGGAACAACTGGAGTTCTATCAGTAAACAAGGACTTCAGACACAAAAAATGATGGGGGTGGGGGGAGTTCAAGATGCAGCTCAATGGCAGAGAATTTGTGTGCATGAGCGTGTGATATGTGCTGGGTCTGAATCTCAGTACTGCAAACAACAACCGATCCACATATAAAGATGAACTAGGCCCCAGTTTACAGGTAAAATAAAAAAACTGTAAAACATTTACAGAAAGACAAAAGGAACTACAGGATCTAAGCTAGCAAAAAGTGCTTAGATTTGACACCAAGAGGCACGATCCATAAGATAAACTTGGGTGGCATCTAGCATATATAATAAATTTTATATTAGTAAAATAAAATCCAAGTAGAAAAATCAGCAAAACACATGAATAGAGTTCTCCAAAGAGAACACAGATGGTAACTAATCCAAGAGAAAGACAGAGAAACATAGATTAAAGTGTAAGGAGGCATCATCTTACATCCAGAGAACGGCTAAGATAAAAAGTGACATCACAGCTGGGCGGTGGTGGCGCACGCCTCTAATCCCAGCACCCGGGAGGCAGAGGCAGGGGATCTCTGTGAGGTTGAAGCCAGCCTGGTCTACTGATTGAATTCTAGATCAGGTTCCAAAGCTACACAGAGAATTCCTGTCTCAAAACAAAAAACAAACAAACAAAACGTGACATCACAAATGCTGGCAAGGAGAAACTAGACCTCAAATACAATGCATTGCCCTTGGGAACATAAAATAAATGGTACAGCTACTCTGGAAAAATTGGCCACTTCTTATAAATCCAAGCTTGCAGCCACCACAGTACAACACAGCAACTCTACTCTAGGGCACAGAGCGCAGAGAAATGTCAACTTAAGTTCACAGAAAAATCTGTATGTGAATGTTTATTTGTTGCAGTCAAAGACTGGAGACAGCCAGGTGTCCCTCAGTGAAGGACAGTCACATCAGTGTAGGACATCCACAACCCAGATGCCAGAAGGAACATACTACAACCTATTTGAAATGAATATCCCAGAAACTTCTGAGTACAGAAAGCAAATCACTGTTGCTATATTATATGATTCCTTTATCTGCCAAAATTAGGGAAACTGTAAACAGGTTAACGGTGGTCAGGGGTTAAATCTTCCACGTCTGTAAGTTCAGTAGAAGGAAGATGAGTGTGAATATAAACCCACAACAGGAAGGCTCCTCCCAAATGCAGCAATGTGCTGTCCTAGAGTGATGTTGTACTCCAGTTTTTCAAAATGTTGCCATTTGGGGAAACTGGGTAGAGATACAAAGAATCTCTCTGTGGCAATTCTTACAACTGGGTAGAGCTACAGTTGTCTCACTTCAAAGCCTTCAGCCAAACATGGGCATGATGCCCATGCCTATAACCCTAGCACTGGAGAGGCAGAGGCAAGAGGGTCATGAGTTCAAGGTCAGCCTTGTGGAGATAAGGAGTTCTAGGCTAGATTAGTATGGCAGTGCTTACATGAAATCACAGCAGCTGGGAGACTGAGGCAAAAGGTCATGATGAATTCAAGGCCTGCCTAGGTTACACAGTGAGACCCTGTCTCAAAAATCAAACAAACACAATCACAAAACCACACCATCCGTAACAGCCAAGCCTTCCTTCACAAAAGCTGGTAATCCAAAGCTGGCTGGGTTGGCTACAGCCACTCTGTTGTCCCAAGTACAGGGAGGGAACCAGGCTGGCTGGGAGGCAGGCAGGTGAGCCCTTACCTCATTTCAAGTCACCTAAGCCCAGAGACACTCACCATCAGAGCATCCCAGTCAGCTGGTGTGACAGGCTGCTGGCCCCACCCAGGGTCATTACAGCAGGCTAGGTCCTGAGCCTTGCATCTTTAGCAAATGACCAGTTTGACAGACTCTGAACTGGGAAGTGCAGAGTTGGAGAGAAGAGACAAGGACAGGTGGGGGAGGTGGCAGAGGCACCCACAGGAGCCTTCTACATCACATGGGCCTGGGGAATTCCACCCACAATGCTTTTCTGCTGTGGACAGAGACCACAAACATTTCCAGTTCCCCCTAAGCGTGCCTCTCTGCTGGGAGGACTTCCTGCTAAACTCCTGAATTCACACCTCAACACATAGGTCTGGTAGGAAGGCCCAAGACTGCAGATCTGGTCTCCAGTGGACCCTCTGGACCCACAGGGAGACACTATGAATGTAGCCCCTCCTCCCACCTCCAAGGCAGGGCTGAGAGGGAGGCCTGAACTCTGCACCACCTGCAGCTGGGAGCCAGGCCCGTAACACAGCTGCTCTACTTCAAGTCAGCCTGGGAGCACAAGGTTTTCTGTGGGTCAGTCATGTCTTCCTGCAGGCACAGAGCTCCAGGGAACTTGCTTTCCAAGTGTCCCGGGGAGGCTACCCCCAAGTCTCCTGGCCCCATCGGCCTCTACCTGTCTGAGCAGCTAAGAACCAGAGCTAGCAACCGGGTCACTCTCAGGCAACATCCAGTCCTTCTCAACAGCTCCAAAGTTCGTTAGGCTCCAACTCAAGAAATTCAACTCAAATCAACTCAACCCAAATCCCAACTCAAGAAATTGGGATCAGCCAGGCGGTAGTGTCCCATGCCTTTAATTCCAGCACTCGGAAGGCAGAGGCCAGTGGATCTTTGAGTTCAAGGTCAGCCTTGTCTACAGAGGGAGTTCCATGCCAACCAGGGCTACACAAAGAAACCCTGACTTGAAAAACAACAACAAATCAACCAAAAAGAAACTGGGAACGAAAGGCTCCCAAGAAATGACAATTTCAGGAAAGCGTGAGGTGGTGTTAACTTGTAGTTTTAGCCATTCTGGAGGTTGGGGCAGGAAGATCATTTAAGCCCAGTTCTCACATGACATGGGGTGGGTGTGGGAGGAGGAGAAGACAGGTCTGAAGCGTGGCAGAAACAGTCCCTAGTACCAAAGGAAGGGCAGGTAAGTGTCCAGAAGCCTAGAGGTCCTGCCTGCTCTCCATGTGAGACAACCATACTCCCAAGCTCGGTGTGCAGATTTCATGACGGACTTCAGGAATGAGCATCTTTCAGTAGTTCAATGGCTGAAGGGACAACCAAAACCTGACTTCTGTTTCCAGAGTTTAAAACAGAAATCTGGAGGCCACTCTAGGATATACGGCCACCTTTATGTCATCAGCCCTTAGAAATCAATCCTAGTCATCGGGAAGCTCCCTAAACAAGATGTGCCTGTCCCTCACAAGTCTACCTGCTTATCCTCATCACCCCTCCAGCCTGTAACGCCCCCCCCCGGGAGCACAAGAGCCTTGAGGTCAGCCCTGGTGAGTAATGTTAAGCCCCCCCCCCCACTCTCAAGTGTCAAGGATGCCCTTGGTACTGCCAGGACCTGGTGGTGAGTCTGTGTTCACCCAACCCACATCCACCGTGGTCTTAGATCAGGTCACATGCGCTATTTGTGTCCCTGTGAAATTTTCTGCCAATAACGCAAACGAGTTAAAGACATCACCAAAGACGGTCTCTAACTACTAAAAGAAGGAACCCTGGGGAGAACGAGGGGTGGGAGCAGGCGGGTCAGGTGGGAAAAGGATACCTTGAGGGAACAGGATACTTTCGGGGGTGGCGGGCACTGGGCACTGGGAATGGTGTTCTGGGTACCAAGGAGAACAACAACAAAAAAAAAAATCTAGGGAGAATAGGGCACCTTCGCACCTGAGCTTCAGTTTGGAAAAGGATGTTCCTGTCAAAACCCTGGCGAGGGACTGACAGATCAGCGTCCTCAGCCTAGGGGCTGCGCAGCTCCTCCTCGGGCCACTAACGGCTTCCAACCGTCCCCCCCCAACACCCAGATGGTGGGCACCGAAGCGGGCGCCGAGGGACGCACCGTGAAGGTGAGCCTGCCTGGTCCGGAGCTGGGACGACAGGCTGGGGTGAGGGCCCATCAGCCGCCTCCGCTTAGGAGGCCCCCGAAGGCCACTTGCACCCCTGGGCCAGCCCCAACAAAGGCTCCGCGGATAGGTGAGAGCGCCCGACGGCGCGGCGCAGGGGGCAAGCACCCGCAGGTGGGTGGCGGAGCCGGGCCGAGCCGGAGCCTCGCCCGGCGCCTGGGACCGGCCGCACCTGCCGCCGCACCTGCCGCACCTGCGCGCCCCACCGCCCGCACTCGCCTGCGGCGCCCCGCGCCACCCAGACTCTCACCTCCGCCCGGCCCGGCCCGGCCCGTCGCCGCGGCCCCCGGCCCGCGCCGCTCCATGCGCTCAACCCGCCCTCGGCGCCGCCCGCCGCCCCCGGGCCGCCGCCGCCCGCGCCATCGCGCCGCCGCCGCTCGGAGGGCACAATGGAGCCGCCGCCGCGCTGCTCATGCATATGCATGACGCCGCGCCGCCGGCCCCGCCCCCCAGGCCAGAGCAGCGGAGCCCCGAGCGGCGCTCCGGAGGCTCGAGCAGGGGCGAGTGCGGGCCTGCATGGCTGCGATGAGCCCGGGCTGGGTCCCGGCAGCGGCTGGCTGCCGCGCAGGAAGCTCCGTGCGCCCGGCCTGCACCCCGCACCCCTTGCGCACCTTTGCGACCGCGGCGTCGGAGGAGCCCCGTGCGCTTCCTGCTGCTGTCCACCGGGGCGGGGCCGGACGGGGGCGGGGCCGGGCTGGGGCGGGGCCACGGCTGGGCAGGCAGGGCCTGGGCCTGGCCACACAGCCTGGCAGTCGAGTCGGTTCGTGACCGAGGGCCAGCCGTGATCCTCCGCAGCCAGAGGCCTTCATGGCGGCCCGGAGCGTTTCAGGAGACAGGGACCGGGAAGCCCATCGCTGAGAATGAGAACTGCTTATGCCTGCCCCAGCAGCCTTCTATACTGCCGCATGGTCCCTTCCTGTGGTGTCGCCCCCTTCACCTCTGTGTTGAAATCACTGTTACAGTTTCTCCAAGGGCTGGAGAGATGGCTCAGTGGCCAAAAGCGGTGACTGTACTTCCAGAGGCCCCAGGTTCGATTTCCACTTCCAACAAGGCGCCTCGCAATCATCCATAATTTTTTTTTTTTTTTTTGGTTTTTCGAGGCAGGGTTTCTCTGTTTTGTTTTGGAGGCTGTCCTGGAATCAGTTCTGTAGACCAGGCTGGCCTCGAACTCACAGAGATCCACCTGCCTCTGCCTCCCGAGTGCTGGGATTAAAGGCGTGCGCCACCAATGCCCGGCGCAATCATCCATAATTTGAATTCCGGATGATTCTGGGTTCTCTTCTGATTTCCAGGGGCATCAGGCATGTATGTGGTGCGAAGACATAACAAATATTCATGCACCTGAGTAATTAAAAATATTTTCTAGCCAAACAAAATAGACTTGTAGATACTTTAGTCATTCTGTAAGCCTGGTAGGTTTGCCCAACCTTTTGACATTGAAACATGAGGATTGTCACCTACAAAGTTCATACTAGAGAACCGGGCAATAGACTAATCAGTAAGTATAATAGTTTTTTATTTGTTTTTAAGATTTATTTATTTATTATGTATACAGTGTTCTGTCTGCATGTAACCCTGCGGGCCAGAAGAGGGCACCAGATGTCATTACGGATGGTTGTGAGCCACCATGTGGTTTCTGGGACTTGAACTCAGGACCCCTGAAAGAGCAGCCAGTGCTCTTAACCTCTGAGCCATCTCTCCAGCCCCAAGTACAATAGTTAAGTTTATATTTTTTGCTGTTGTTGAGGAAAATTCATAGGAATCAGCTTCCACATCCCCAGGTACCAGGTTAGACACCGTCTGGGAGGTGTCTACGTTTTTCTGCCTTAAGCTTCAGAAGAATACACTTCCCTGCTCAAGCGTCCAGTAATAATAAACACACACTGTCATGCAACCACCATGAATCTTCAAAGATATTGTGCCTTCTCCAGCAGACACTCTGCTCATTAAATAGCAACCTCCCTGCACCCCTAGTCGCTCCATCCCACTCGTGCCCCTGCGTTTGAGCAAAGCACCTCATGTAAGTGTGGTCAGGGTTTGCGTTCCCTGGTCGGCTTACTTCACTACACTTTGTGACCTCAAAGCCCAACTGTGGTCAGGGTTTCTTTTGCTTAAGGAGAGGTTGAAACAGGTTCTCACACTGCAACCCAGGTTAGCCTTGAACTTGCAGCAACCCATTTGCCTTGGCCTCTCAAGTGCTGAGTTTACAGGCAGGCATGCCCCTTTACATCCAGCTAGAGCTTCCCTCCTTTTTATGGGAGAAGAATATTCCACTGAATGGAAAGAGCATGTTTTGTTTATTCATTCACAGATCCAGGGATACCCTGCATTTTGATTTTAATGTTGCTGAAAAAATTTTTTTTAAGATTTATTGTGCCAGCAGTGGTGGCCCATGCCTTTTTTTTTTTTTTTTTTTTTTTTTTGTTTTGTTTCGAGACAGGGTTTCCCTGTGTAGCTTTGGAGGCTGTCCTGGAACTAGCTCTGTAGACCAGGCTGGCCTCGAACTCACAGAGATCCACCTGCCTCTGCCTCCCAAGTGCTGGGATTAAAGGCGTGCGCCACCAACGCCCGGCTTGGCCCATGCCTTTAATCCCAGCCCTGGGAAGGCAGAGGCAGGTGGATCTCTGTGAGTTCGAGACCAGCCTGGTCTACAGAGCGAGTTCCAGGACAGCCTCCAAAGCCACAGAGAAACCCTGTCTCAAAACCTGCCACACACACACACACACCCCAAAAAAAAGAGAAAAAGAAAAAAGCCTATGCAGTTGTTAATAGTGCTGGGATTGTTGGCGTGCTTCAGCAAGAGGCCCAGGTAAGGGTTCCTCCTCCTCCTCCCAGCATTTTCCCTACCGTTCTACACTGACTCAAGCTGACAGAGTCACACAGCTGGCACAGCTGTGCTATGCTTCCAAACCTCTGGAAACCCATCAGGCAAGTTGGCAACATCTGTAAGGCAAAAGCAAGTTAGCAATACCCCAAGGCCTGCTGATTGCCCCAAGAAAGAACGGATGGCTGGATGTAGCGGTGCGTGTCTGTATTACAGGACTCTGGAGGCTGAGGCAGGAGGATTCTGAGGCCGAGGCCAGCCTGGTCTGTACAGCATGACTGTGACTCAAAAAAAAAATAAAGAAAGAAGAAAGGAAGGAAGGAAGGAGGAAAGGAAGGAAGGAAGGAAAGAAGGAAGGAAGGAAGGAAAGAAGGAAGGAAGGAAGGAAGGAAGGAAAGAAGGAAGGAAGGAAGGAAAGAAGGAAGGAAGGAGGAAAGGAAGGAAGGAAGGAGGGAAGGAAAGAAAGGAGGAAAGGAAGGTGTGGCTTTGGAGTGGCCATGGCCTTGTCGGAGGAAGTGTGCATTGTGGGGCTCTGAGGTTTCCTATGCTCAGGATACCACACAGTGAGTCAGTTGACTTCCTGTTCCGTGCAAGCGAAGATGTAGCCAGCACCACGTCTGCCTGCATTGCCACCACGGCCATGTTCTCCACCATGACACCGCGGGCCAGCCCTCATTAAATGTTTCCTCTGTAAGGGTTGCCGTGGTCACGGTGTCTCTTCACGGAAACAGAAGCCTAACTAAAACAACAGGGATTACGTGAAGGATCTTCTGGTGGCCATACTTGCAGTGGGCCTTATAGGAGTGTGGGGGAGGGACGGGACCATGTGAGGGCGGGACAGAGACTCCATAGATTCCGCTATAATCAAGGGACAACAGAGCCACAGCCGCTAAAGAGGCAGGACAGAACTCCCCCAGGGACTGATCACACTTGCATCTCAGTCTCTGGTGCTGGGGACCACCTGGAACTGCCTGTTGTTAGAGTCACACGACAAATGGTCATTAGCTATGGTGGTCACAGGGCACTGGAACCTCCATGCAACTGTTGTGCCCAGTTCTGGTGGCATCGGATGACTCTTCCACAACCACCATCTGTCACCTACCTCTATTTCTGCTGTGGCGACTTCCTCATTTTTCTGCCCCCCAGGGGCTGTCCTTCTCTTTTCTGCCTGCCTCTCATGGACCTGCCATTAAGATTTTATTGTCAAGGACGTCACAATGGGCTGTGGCAGCCACTCCAGGGAGAAGTTTGAGAGCTGTAGACTGGGGCTGACACTTTGTCCCATGTTTCTCCTCCTTTCCCTGGAGACTCACACACGTGAGGTCTGACCCTCGAAGCTCCCACTCCTGTGGCCCGGCCACTTCAGCAGCGTCTTCTAGAAAGGGCTCCCACACCCACAGGGCCAGCCACCCCCAGCTCTCCTGAAGGCTGACTCACTTCACGGATTGCTGCCTACCTCTTCACTTGCTGACAAGGGAGGGTCTCAACAGATCCAAACCAGACACGACTGCTCACTATCCCAACACTCAGGAAGCCAAGGCAGGAAGGTCGCCGTGAACTGAGGTCAGTGCCGGTTAAGATGAGTTCCAGCCCAGCCCGCGCTACAGAGACTCTGTCTCAAAGAAACACCCCTTCCCTGATCTCAAACCACCCACACAAGCACTATGGTGGTGGCATCCCAGGGCGAAACGCACTTTGTCCTTCCAGCCATTTTTGAAATGTTTGGTCACTACTCCCCTCCTCCCTCATCACCCACCGGAATCCTGAGGCCTTTCACCATACCATTCTGCCCTTACCAGCCTTAATCTTTTCTTTTTGCCAGGTGTTGGTGGTGCACGCCTGTAATCCCAGCACTCGGGAGGCAGAGGCAGGCGGATCTCTGTGAGTTCGAGACCAGCCTGGACTACCAAGCGAGTTCCAGGACAGCCTCCAAAGCCACAGAGAAACCCTGTCTCGAAAAACCAAAAAAAAAAAAAAAAAAAAACCTTTTCTTTTTATGGTGGGGGCAGGGAACTATGGCCCAGGAGACCTCAGCATACAAAGCCCCTGTTTCCCCTGGGGTCATAGGTGTTCAACACCTTGCCTAGTGCTTCACGTTCTTTTTTTTTTTTTTTTTTTTTTTTTTGGTTTTTCGAGACAGGGTTTCTCTGTGGCTTTGGATGCTGTCCTGGAACTAGCTCTTGTAGACCAGGCTGGCCTCGAACTCACAGAGATGCAC